GTGATCCGGGTCAGAGCAGTCAGTGGTGGTAGCTGGGCACCATCCAGCTATACTGGACTCACTCTGGTAGAGGCCGTGGTGGTTGTGGTCCATTAGTCCTTTGGACTAATAGAAAAAGAGTAGTCTTAATATTGGTATTTTCCCTTCGAACAATTGTATCAAGCCGAACATTTTTATCTCTTTCTATCTCAATAAATGAAAATAAAATCACATTCCTTATGCTGGGTAAGGGAAACACCATTATATTTTTCAAGCATGGGTTAGTATTTCGATATACTCATTTTTTACAAGAATATGTTAGACCTATCATATTATTGATTATGACAAACTTTCCTTCAGAATTCTGGAAAATTCTTGAATTCTATCTCTCTAGTGTTTTTTTTTTCAATCCCTATCTATTGTCTTTATCTTGCCTTCTACATGTACTCAATACTACAGCCAACCTGAACCCCTTGTTTCCTGCCTCTATACCATTCATTTTGCTGTTTATTCCACTGAATGTCTTCCTCTTCATTATCCATCTGCAAAATATTAGTCCTTCAAATCTCAGCTCCTAAAAGAAATTTTCCTCATCCTCCAAGCTGACAATAATGTCTCCTTCCTCTAAGTTCACTTAGCAGTCTGTATATTCCTTTTTTTTATTGTTGCAAAAATATAGATAACTGCAGTCTGTATGTTTCTTAACACACATAGTCAGACAATTATAATGTATAATCTAGTTTATTATAATTATTGAGGGAAGGATATCTTCTTTGTGTTTTCCACAATATGCAATGCAGCATATCTCACTTCAAAGATACTTTATAGATACTTGCCAAAGTAACCGATTCATTAAAATATGGAAGTACCAATTTTGGGATTGCCTTTATGAATGACTTGGCTACACTGAATATGCTTTGAGAATGTCTCTGTTACATTTGGATGGGCTCTGAAAGTTAGTTTCAGAGGTAGGGACAGTTTCAAAGCACTTAATAAAACTGCTCACAGATTCTGCTCATGTCAGGCCACTCCCAATGTGAATACATAACTTGTTGGTCGCATCTGCCAGCCGCTGAACTGCTGGCAACTTTTGTCTGGAATGAAGCGCTTTCAGCCCAGCTCTCATCACTGCACCTCGCTTTCATGATAATGTTTTTGCCTCCTGTTGTGTTTATATAAAAGACTGCAGTCTTGTCTTAGAATTTCTGGGTATTATGATTACCTTAGGGAAATCTGATTATAGAGATAATCTATTCAACAGTGAGGAGTTTCAATTTGTTTCTATTGAGTTTTGTCAATTCCGAGTCCCAGATACCTTTGTATTCCAGTCCACTGACTAGAGCCTCCCAGCCAGACGTTGAGGCATCTGTTTCTATAGTCTCTGGAACCGGGAAAGATAAATAAGAATGTGGGGGAATTATCTGTATATTTGCTAACCACCAACTTAGATCTAAATAGACTCCCTCTGTTAGGAAGACTAATGAATTCCAATTCTCTGAAATATCTTTGCCTTTAACAAGCAAAATGGAAGGTATCTGGAAAAAAAAAAAAGAGAGAGAGAGAGATACACAGAGGGAAAAGCTGTGAATAATGCCACCAGAGAACCAATTATGTTCACCAGCTGGCATTGAGAAACTTGATTCCTTTGACAAAAAAGACTAGTTTTAGCCTCAAACTCCTTTCTGACATTGTGTTCTGTAGGGCTGAATGAATGACGAAATCCTCCTAGCCGCCCTCGTAAGATGTTAGAGAAAAAAATCTTAACATTATCGTTACATGTAATACAACAGAGCACTGGGCAGGAACGAGAAACGAGCTGAGGCGTCATCATGGCACTTAACAAAAATCAACTGGATACAATGATATGAAAATGAAACGTTAAAACAGAAAGACCCTGTCCCCAGCCACAGGACTGAGTCACTGAGATACATTCACAACTTGGAATGACAATGATTAAGAAACTGTACGTTTAATAGATGGAACAAGTATATTTCCTGTGAAAGAGTAGTTAACGGCTGTATTTTCCAGTAATATAAACTGCATTTTGGATTTGTTTCTTTCCTATTTGGGGGGAACCCTCACTGATTGCAGCTAAGACTTGAACTAAGAGTTTTGTGCTTTAGTGGGTGAGACATGGTATATTTCATGATCTCTAGCTGGTAAAATTTGCAATGAAGTGGTGCCACCTAATCTTGAATTCTCAATAGGGGTGTTTTATTTCAACGGCCAGGACCCCTGTGGAGCTGATCTTGGCTGGGAGTCCTGTCTGTAGCTCCTACAAGCTGTTCCTTGGGGGAAATTCTTGTGAATTCAGTCTTTTCACTTAGTATATCACTTTGAAACCTGTCTTTCCCAAGTATCAACTCGAAGTCCATCAATATCTATAGAACAAGTTTACACAGACCAGCCTTTGTTGAGCCACTAAAATAGGGTCACCCCATATCTGCTCACACTCCCTTTTCTTTTTCCAGGTAGCTAAACATGCTTAATCAATAGCAGTTTGCTTTCCTGATTGCAAGAGGAGGAAACTTTAACCTAAAAGGCTTATTGTTTCTCTTTCAAATGATGCCACTCTATAGAGTCACCATGTACACGTGTGTAGTCTATGTACAGCACAATTCCAGGTGCAGCGTTGACATGGACTGCAACATTAATGGTGCCTCCCTGCCCCTGCCCAGCCTGGATTCTTCAGAGTGGAGATCTGACCCTGTGCACAAAGAATACATATTTTTAAGATGGCTGATAATTGACTGGATAATTAATTTAATATATTCAGTTTTGGGGAAGAAAACAGAGATGTTGGTTTTCATGTCATCGGCACTCCAAAGACTGTTATTTACTGAAATTTGGTATTGTGCAACGTTACAGAAATACAAAGGTTATCTAAGTGGCTCCTTAGCTTTGAACCTAAATCAGGCAGGAGAGATATTGTACACATTTTATTTCACATTTATCTTGAATTTTCCATTCCTCTTACTTCCTTCTAAGGATGAGGCTTTCAGTGACTGATTATCCATAAAAAGGAGTGAAGAATATGATCTCAAGGAGACTTTTAAAATCATTTTTATCAGCCTTCTTACTTATAAATTCCCTAGAAAAGTCTTCAATGATGGTTGTGTTTTTATTAAAGCATTTTTAAAATAGCCACTTCAGAGAGATATAATTCCACCACAAAATTCACCCATTTAAACTATTAATTTCAATGGTTTTTAGTATATTCATAGTTATGGGACCATCACCACTATCTAATTTTAGGACATTTTCACCACTGCCAAAAGAAACCCCGTACCCATTAGCAGTCAGTCCCATTCCCTCTTTTCTTCCCCTCACCAGTCCTAGGCAGCCAGTAATATATTTCCTATTTCTATGGATTTACCTGTTTCGAACTTTCATACAAATGGAATCATATAATATGTGGCCTTTGTAACTGATTTTTTTTTTTTTTTTTTGCTTAGAATAGTGTTTTCACGGTTTGTCCATCTTTTAGCATGTATCAGTATTTTATTACCTTTTATTGCTAATAATATCTAGTGAATGGATATATCACATGATGTTTATCCATTCATCAGCTGGTGGACATTTGAGTTGTTTCTGCTGTTTGGCTATTATGTATAATACTGCTATGGACAGTCCTGCACAGGTGTTTGTGGGGGCATGTCTGTTCACCTCTCTTGGGTATATGCTTAGGAGTGGAATTGCTGGATCATATGGTAACTCTATGTTTAACATTTTGAGGAGATATCAGACTGTTACAAAGTGACTACACCATATTGTGCAGCAGTGTATGAGGGTTCCAATTTCTCTACAAACTTGTGAACACTTGTCATTTTCTGTCTTTTTTAATTTTAGCCGTCATAGTGGGGATGAAGGGATAGCTCATTGTGGTTATGAGTTTCATTTCTCTAATAACTAATGATGTTGAGCATGTTTACACGTGCTATTGGTCATTAGTATATCTCTGGAAAAATGTCTTTTCAAGTCCTTTGCTCGTATTTAAATTGGATAACTTGTCTTTTTATTGTTGTGTTGTAAGAGTTCTTCATACGTTCTGGATACGAGCTCCTTGTCAGATAAATGATTTGCAAATATTTTCTCCCATTCTGTGGGCTGTCTTTTCACTTTCTTGATGGTGTCTTTGAAACATGTTAAGTTCTTGATTTTGATTAAGTCCCATTTATTTTGTTTTTTGTTGCTCATGCTTTTGTTGTCATATCTAAGAAACCATTATGTGATTCAAAGTCATAAAGATTTACTCCTATGTTTTCTTCTAAGACTATTATAGTTTTAGCTCTTACACTTAGGTTTATGATCCATTTTGAGTTAATGTCTGTATATGGTGTGAGGTATCCCTTTTCTTTTAATACCTAAGAACATGGCAGTTAGAATGGTCTTCGCTAGGTTCAATATGAAAAAAACTGGTAAGGAAGTTTTTTGTTTTGTTTTGGTTTGGTTGTTGTTTTAGAGGCCTTTAAAAAAATCACTGACTCATTACAGACAAGGGAAAGTGCATCTATTATATCATCAAAAATAGACCTCATTTGCATTAAGCTTATTCAGTCTATTTGATAAGCAGAGAAAACCAAGCATAGGGTGACTTACCAGGAATGGCTGCCAACGGCAGTTGAGATAACACTCATTGAAAGATTATGAATAATACCTTGATTACAAATAAAAGCGTGGTCTCATCTTTTTAGCTTAGGATTGGCTAAGACTACATATCATTTTTTAGTCTGATTAATGGCAGAGTAACTAATTGAAGTGGTAAGAGACTAGCAAATCATTCCAAATGTCAAGTGTAGTCAAAGTGCCATTTTGTCATAGATGATAAAGTAGAGCTCAGAGCGACAGGTGTGAATAATAAATAAGAACTGAGAATACCCAGGAAGAGGTAAGGTAATGATTTTAAAATCAGGATTATTTGGGCAGATTTGATTTTCTTCCCTGAATTGTCATACTGTTGAACTGACCTTTGATTTGTTGACATTCTAAGATTTGATGTAGATTTTCTTTTTGCTTTGCAGGATGTACAGAATCAAAAATTAAAGACAAGCGTATGGTACCGAGAGGTAAGTAATTATACTTGCTTTGTACATGTTGGACTCCTGATCTGAATCAGTTAAAAATGTATTATTCTGAGGAACAGATAACATTTATTTGTCTGTAGCTCCACACATCTTACATAGATTCTAATAAATTTGTTATAATGTGTGACCATGGTTTCTGGTTGGGGCTACCATCTTCAGGAACTGGATGAAAAGTCTTCTCCCCTAGCTAACATAGTACCAAGGGGCTGATCAGTTGGGTTATTAATCCAAATTTCTCCTCAGTTATTTGGTGAGGTTGACATTGCCCCATTATGATACCCTTCCTTTTTGGCTGCTCCTGACAGGTTTGGGATGACGAGTTTTTATCCTGGAACACCAGCATGTTTGATGATATTAGAGAGCTCTCCCTACCTCTAAGTGCCATCTGGGCCCCTGATATCATCATTAATGAGTTGTAAGTGTGCTGGGTGTATTTCTGTGGGGTTTACACTGCTTAGAGTGCTTAGAATATTCAAGTCACCAATTGCTAGCTACTTGTATGTAGTCAATGTTGCTTTTTTTTTTAATTTCTGAACTCATTTCTGAAATAAGTTTTTGTTTCTGAACCACAAAAGGAGCATATTTTGGGGGAATATGCAGGGGTGGAATACCATGAGTTGACATTGTTTGAGATATAGATTTGATTACTAATGCGTGAGGTTACTCGTGGATTATATCTGTGTTATAACAGTAGTAAGTATGTAAATTTGCTGTCATTGCTGAGCCCATCTTTGCCATGGCTAATCATCTAATGGGAAATGTGATTGTCTTTGCAGTGTTAGATTAGTCCTAGGTGTCAAGGTCACTACCATCTCAGAGTCAGTTCTGTTCATGTTTTGAAATGACTAAAGCCCCCTCTGTAACAAGTTTCTTATTTTTCATGTAGTGTGGACATTGAAAGATCACCTGACCTTCCCTATGTTTACGTGAACTCATCCGGGACCATTAAGAACACTAAGCCCATCCAGGTGGTGTCTGCATGCAGTTTAGAGACATACGCTTTCCCATTTGATATCCAGAATTGCAGCCTAACCTTCAATAGCATTCTGCACACAGGTAAACCTTGAGTGATGCAGGCCCTTAATTGGAAAACACACTTATGCAGCGTTGTTGAACATAGGTGAAATTATATTACGTCGTCCATCAGGTCTATTTTATTTTTGGCCATGATTGACTTTTTAAAAAATTCAAAGCTCTTGTTGCAGCTATTCAGTTCCTGCCATAAATCAGACCAAGCAGAATGTTGAGTGCAGATATATAGCCCATTACTGCTGTTGATTTGGGAATACATTAGGCTTCCACTGCCATTGAGAATGTTACAGAAGTCATAGGACTGATTCCATCATTTTATGGATAGTTGAATCCAAACCCTAAATTCAGAGTGTTTTTTTTTTTTTTAATGGCCAGAACAATTTTTACCCCTGCCCCTATCTCCATTCCAAACGGTTATATTGAACCCATTCCAAGTAAGACTGCACGTGGGGCAGGAGTAAAAGGAAAGGTTCATATTGGTGAGTTGGAAAAATGTGTTGATGTTGGAGCCTCTTTCTCTACATAGTCTCTACGTAGTCAATTGTTTCTATTGTTTCCAGTGGAAGATATAGACCTGGCCTTCCTGAGGAGCCAAGAAGACATTAAGCATGACAAAAAGGCATTTTTGAATGACAGTGAATGGGAACTTCTTTCTGTGCCCTCAACATATCACATCCTGCAGAACAGCGCTGGAGATTTTGCCCAGATTCAGTTTAATGTAGGTTCTTCCCCTTCCTGGTCCAATGGTCCACTTCTCTGCAGTCTTTGGGCTGAGGAATCTCTGCTCTGTTGCATATGCATATTCGTTAGTGCCCAAGTGCAGTTGATTCATATAACTCTGGACATGCATCTGCACTCCAGCACTTCAGTCACAGATCTGGTCTTGTGCTGTAGATATTCCACAAGTGAACATAGAGAGAATGGCTTCCAGACACCCAGAAGACTAAAAGCCAAGCCCCAGACCTCCCACCACAGCAGGAATCCTCAAACCTTTTCAATACACACTAACATCCTCACTTCTAGTTGCTACTGAGGAACACAAGTGAACAAACAACCCACATATCTCACCAAAAAAAGGGGGGCTGGGCAGAAGAGTATCTCATTAACACTATTGTCTCATTTTTACTGTTAATTATTAATTCCAGATGCAGGTGCATAAAATTATTATAGCTTGAACCGGAACACCTTGAGGGACTAGCCGACAAATCGGCTTCGGGACCCTCAGAGACCACTGGTGGTTTCTGGATCAGAGAGAACAAGTGCCCTAAAAGGAAGTGAAGAGAGCCCGCACTTCTCAGATACGCCATTGGGAATGTTCTTGAGTGCACTGCTGACAGGGAAATGTGCCCAGCAGGGGCCTGGAGGGTGGTGGGGTGCGTGACAGTACAGCCAGGTACTCTGAACTCCAGAGGCAGTCGTTCTGCCTTCCCTGGCCCTCCTGACAAACCATCCTGACACGCAGTCAGCAGCAAGTTCATGCAACTGGTAGACTAACATCGTTAGAATTCGGCGGTGCACTCTGCTTTTCTGCACAAAGTTGACTAGCGGTAGTGGTGGTGGGGTCTTTAATAACCCAGTAACGGATCCGATTGAAAAATAGAGACTACAGGCAGGCCAGGATTGCACGAGAGATGCATCCTTCTAGAAATGAAACCTTTTAAATAATAATAAAAGAATTTAGACCAAGGCACTATGGTTACTGTAGATAATTCTGTTTAAGGGGAAGTGGCATAATCTATTATTGAGGGCAGAGATGCCCCTCCATTGGTTAAAAGAGGTTTGTTTTATGCAGTTTTCCAGCCAAGCTTAGCAAAGCTCCTGTTAAATCAGGGACCACTCAGACATAGTTGTGATCTGAAGCTGACTAATGCATAGGGCTGAGTACTAAGTAATCATGACTCCTACCTTCCAGGCTAGCGGTGGGGTTTGGGTTCTTGCCTAGAATTCTGCTTGGTTTTTAGCAAAGCTTGCATTGTGGCCTGTTTGTCCACTTTTTTTTTTTTAAACAAGGAAAGAGAGGGAAAAAAGAAAGCATTTTTAATTTCAATGAGTTTCTTGGCTAAGAGTAAACACCTCATTAATTTTAAAGATAATCAGCCTGCAAACATTATTAATGCAGCCCAAATAATGGAGAGCATTAAAGGGAAATGTGAGGGAGTAGCACGTGCAAGGTGGAACATAGTCACCTACCAAGCACTCCGGAGAACGCTGCACACCCCATTACCTACACCGCACGGAAGAGACAAAGGCAAGAGAAGGGGCAGGTAAATAGGGACGCTCACACATGCACACGTACACACACACACACGTGCATCTGTGTGCACATGCTCACACACGCTCAAGATCTCTGTCTCTCTCTCTCCATGCAAGCAGCCATTATTTATATGCCATCCTTTGCCACAAGTATTAATTTGTCTTCTCAACAGTGGTGCCAGGTTTTCTGTGCACTATCTCTATTTTAAATATGATGAACAGAGCTGGTTAAAGATTAAGGCTTCCCTGGATCTCAGGAACCAAGATCCAGTTCCTTTGCTGTCTTCACTGTCACACTTCTTCCCCACTTTCAGTGTATACATTGAGGGTGCTGGAGGCAGGGGGAGATATGACTATGTGCTCTTAGAACTTTTCCTTGGGTCCCTTTGCCCTGGGGGCTAAGGTGGGCCATCCAGCAGACTTCTACCCTGGCCCTCTGGAACAGAATAGGGACATAATGCTGAGGAGAGCCATAGATTGTATTTGGCAGGGCAGGGAGGCAGCTCAGAAGGGATTCTGCAACTTTAGAAAGACTTCAAGTAGATTCGGTGACTATCACGGTTCTCTGTCTCCCTCAGCCTCTCTCAGTCTGCATGCCTCCCCATTTCTGCTATGTACAGCTTAGTTAGGCTCATCATGTTCTCTTACTCCATACCAGACATCCCACTCTGAAATAGCAACTGAGGCACTCAGGTGTCCTTCAACAGCCCTTGGCCAGTGACATGAAATTCGGAGCCAGTCCTGTGCCAACACTGGGCCTGCCAGCAAAGGGCCAGCTCCCTCCTAATCTAATCACCCTCAGTGTTCCAGTCCAGGCTATCCAGTAGGGAAATGGGGATTGGTGGAGCAGGCAGGGGGAACAATGATCTATTCTAAGTACATCGTCACCCTGGCCCTGATGTACACTGCTGCCATTTCTACTAAATCAGATGCTCCAGATGCCCCGTTAGCTCCAGCTAATGTGCAATCATATCTCCCTGCTCTAGGACACGTATTGTTTATCTGAGGACTCAGCTGGTGCTTTGGGCTGCATTCCACAGGGGGCCCCAAGCACAGACAATTCTCCCTATGAGGATATGCGTGTGCAGCCTGGGACCCAATCCAGCAGCCATGGGAGGGGAGATTTCCCCCAATACATTATTGGAGGTGCTGGTTCCCAGAAACAGCAGGGTGAGCATTCGATTTCTGTAGGGCAGTGTTTTGTTTTTTTAAAAAAGAATGAGGATAGACGTGGGAGGGAGGTAGAAATAAAATTTAGGAACTCATGTTGTATGGAAAAAGTTAGACAGCTATGATAACTGAACTGAACTCAATCACAGAAATCCTCAAGCTGACTGAAGTATTCATTCAGGCAAGAACTGAGGTGTCTACAGGGGACTGCTAGAAAAATGCAAAGGGGCATCTGGGAAAGAAAGACACCGCATCTATCTTTTTATGTCATACTTTTCCTTTCTAGATTAGGGAAGAGCAATTTTGTTGAGACACCCAGTGAATGCAGCTCATAAACTTGATAGCGATCATTCTGAGCACCACCAGATCGAGAGAGAAAAAGAAGAAGAGAAGGAAAAGGAAAGGAAGGGAAGGGAAGAAAAGAGAGAAGAGAAGAGAGAGAGCTTTAGAAATCTTTCTAGGGTCACTCAGGTAATCCTGGAATCATGGACTTTCTGCTAATCCAGCCCAACCCACAGTCAAGATCCAAGAAGTGCTCACTTGGGTGCAAGGATCTTACTTAATTGGCAGCAACTTTCCCATCCTTTCCGAATTGGGAATGTTGGGAGGGGTTTGGGAGAGGAGGAAAACAAGCTTCTGTATGAAGTGTGAGTCTGGGCATCAAAGTTCCAACCATGTCATAAAGACGGTCATGCAAAATTGAGTACTGGTGGGGTCTACCATCAAGGAGGCAATTAGAGGCTAACCTTCAGTCCTATTCCATCTCCAAGGAGCTCTCCACACACATTCCAAATTAGATTGATCTCTTTCATTAACATCAATAGGCTCCAAATACCTTTGTGTACTTATTATTACCTGGCTTTAATGGATAATGAAATTGTGGCATAATATTGCTAACACCTGAAGGGTGTCTAATGGAGAACACGGACTGAAACTAAAGTGCCTTTTCTTCTCTTTCTGTGGAATTTAAAGGCACCAGCTCCTTAATCCATTAGAAATGTGGGCTCGAGGTAGGGGCAGTTCTGCAGACAGCAGTTTCTCACTGCGTTGGTGACGTCTTTTCCCCTCAGGAAAAGCAGGGATTACTGCTTCGAGCATGACCTGCAGAGGGGTAGCCTTTGGAAGGGCTGGCCTCAGTAAGGTAGTCCCCATTTGGGCTAACTCCACACTCCCATCCCATTGAAACTAAGAGTAGCATTATTAACAGATTCAAATACAACTCAACAAACGTCTTTTGAGCTCTTATCATGCACCAGGCTCAATGGTAAACACTGAGGTCACAACGATGAATAAGACAAAGTTCCTGATATCTATCATGGACCTTAAGATCTGCCCAGAGAGACACAATAACAATAACCACAAAATGAATTAAGTACTTACTGTACGTGAGGCACCATTTTAAAAGTTTGTACATGTAATCGTCACATATGGGTGCTCTAAGTATAGGCATTTTTACAAAAGAATGGAGGTACAGAGAGGTTCAGTAACTTACCTGAGGTTGCAGGGTGACTGGTGAAGGCTCGATTTGAATCCAGGCAATTTAACTCCCGAAACCATGAATCTAAGCAACTTGTCCCCAGAATCCCATATCATGCTGACACACAATTAAAGGTGATGTAGCGGGTTCCACTCTGTTCTTTCTCATCCGCCAATGTGTTAATGGGCAGGTCATCCAACCACTAGTCTGGTCCCTGATTCCATAAAACAGGGGCAAGGGCAGAGAGCCTGTCTGTCGCGTTAACAATTCCAACTCTAGTATCTAGGATAGCGCCTGATACCCTGTTCAATTAATGCTCAGTTAATGTTTGTTGAACAAGGCAATAAAGGGCTGTGAGGATCAAATGAGACTGTGAAAAAAAAAAAATTTCTGAAAACTATGTGATAAAATTAGTTTCTTTAGGCTGCACTGGGCTTGTGGAGTAATTAAGTCTAGTCCATAGATGCATTAGTCCCTGGGTGCTGCAAACAGTTAATGTGCTCAGCTGCTAACCAAAAGGTTGGCAGTTCAAGTCCGCCCAGAGGCAACTCAGAAGAAAGATCTGGCAATCTACTTCTGAAAAAGCAGCCATTGAAAACCCTGTGGAGCACAGTTCTACTCTGACATACATGGGATCACTATGAGTTGGAATAGATTTGATGGCAACTGTTTTTTTTTTTTTTTTTGTCTTATAGGTAACATTGCCCCTTAATCAATCTAAAGAAAAAGTTGAGTTATTTTGTTATCGAAGAAGCCAAAACTATAGGTACTGTTTGGTCTATATTAGGAATGGGGACATCCTTGCTAAAGGTAAGAGAAAGGGTGAGGTAGTTTTGGAGGGCCTATCTAACTTTATGATTTTATAAGCCAAACATAGGAAAGGGAGATACCGTCTTTTAGTTACAGCAGAAGCTAATTGTCTATTCTTATACCTACTTCTTTCCCCTCTATATCCTTCTACTGTTAATATCCAGTGAGGAATATTCTCTAGACAGGACCAGCTACATAATTTGCAGGGCCTAGTCCAAAAAGAAAATGCAGGACCCCATATTCAAAAAGTATCAAGAATTTCCAAATGGCGCCAGCATAGCATTAAGCCAAGCACAGGGCCCTTCTAAGTACAGGGCCCTGTGCAACTGCACAGGTTGCAGGCCCACGAAGCTAGCCCTGCTTCCCAATCCCTTAGCTCTCCCTACACCTCTCCGCTGGCACCTTGGGAAAAATTTGTTCTGATAAAACTGCATTTTCTCTAAAATTAGGGACCCTGAGGTGTCACATTGCCCATCTTTGGTTCTGGCCCAGATTTACACTCACTCTTCTAGCTTTGTGTCTTATTGGCCATGCACTCCCTGAACACATTCTACATCAGCTTCTGAGAGGAATCATCTCAGCACGTGCTATTTACATAGGATCTTTATTTAAAGAGCACAACTAATCTTGATTGTACCCAAGATGTTTGGCAAGGCAAACGTAAATCGCTTTCAATAAAAGGGAAAATTGAGGCATGGAGAGGTTGAGTCCCTTACCCAGGATCACTTAAACTGGTTGATATATGCACTTAGAATTGAGGGGCTCTATAACTCGGTTCCCTTGACTTCAGGTTTGAGCTCTTTCCCTTCACCCAACATGCCTAGTTGTACTTTGTTTAGGGTGGTGACTTAGTCATCTAGTGCTGCTATAACAGAAAATACAAGTGGATGGCTTTAACAAAGAGAAGTTTATTCTCTCACAGTCTAGTAGGCTACAAGTCCAAATTCAGGACGTCAGCTCCAGGGAAATGCTTTTTCTGTAAGCTCTGGAAGAAGGTCCTTGTCATCAATCTTCCCTTGTTCTGGGAGCTTCTCTGCATAGGAACCTCAGGTCCAAAGGATGCACTCTGCTCCCAGCACTGCTTTCTTAGTGGTGTGAGGTTCCTATGTCTCTCTGCTCGCTTCTCTCTTTTATATCTCAAAAGAGACTGACTTAAGACACTACCTAATCTTGTAGACCTCATCAGTATAACTGCCACTAATCCATTTTATTACATCATAGCAATAGAGTTTACAATACATAAGGAAATCACATCAGAGTACAAAATGGTTACACAATCATACAATACTGGGAATCATGACCTAACCTAGTTGACAGATATTTTGGGGGGACACAATTGAATACATGACAGGTGGTATTCTTATACTTTTTCTTTCCTTTCTTGTAATATCCACTGTGAAGTCTCTAAGGGGTCTTCCCACTTAAAACTTCCAGAAATAGCAGGCTTAGCCACCCTCACCACCCTATCTGGCCTGATCACCTACAGCCCAGGCTAGGCTTTCAACACCAAACTCTCCATGGATTTTAACCTCTTGGCTCCCTTCTCACTGTCCCCACCTAACCACAGTCATCTCAGCCACAACGTGATGACAGGAGTTAGAGAGGTGCAGGTTGATGACGGTTACTTTTGTTGTTTTTCTTGTTGACTGCACTTTGGTAGAAATGTGTTTTAAACAAATTATTGCAAAGCAGTGAGTGTCGTTCTGGTTTAGATATTTGTAACAATTATGTTTAATGTGAAAGACAATAGCCACTACAATCCACCAAACAGCACTGACCTGCCAAGCTCCACTGAGGTGGGATGTGCTCCCAGACCCAATGGCTGGGGAGCCCCAGCTCTCATCAGCAAGGAGATATCTGGTCTTACCCAGCCAAGCTCTTCCCCACCGCCTTCTGCTCCATCGTATCTCACCCTGGCCTCTGCACTTAATCTCTGCCTTGGCTCCATCTCTACTTCATTCTCTTCCGGAACAGGAGGCAGACATGAGCGAGAAGAAACTTGCACTAAACTCAGAGGCCCAGTCAGGTCAAGAGTTGTAGCTATGCTGCAGTGGAAAAGAACACCGGGCTTGGAATCAGATGTAGGGGCTCATCCTAGTTCTGCCACTTATTCAACTTACCCACTTAAGGGGGCTGAGCTTTATTTTTTTAAACTCTAAAATGGAGCTATTTCCTACCAATAAGGTTGTATTGAGGATTAAATAAATAACATCACGTGTGTAAAAGCCCCTAGCACTATTTGACATGTAGAAAGCATTCATTTGTTGAAACAGAGGAATGAGAGATTTCAGACATTACTTTTTTCCAAATCCTACAGCACAGCAAAGGGCCCAGAACATTTGTTTGTTTATTGAACACCCACTATAAGGCAGGTGGTATTTTTGGCCCTGTGGGGGATTAAAAAAAAAGTTGCTTCTCTCATGCTTAAGGGGTCCACAGTGTAGTGGGGAAAGCAGATCTGTCATTTCCTAGTTTCTTCCCTCCTAGTTTCTCCCGTCATATTCCAGAGAAGCTATGTATAAAAAAGGGCAACAACAATAATAGTAATTTTATGAGACTCAAAATCTAAGCCACAAAGCCCACTCAGCAGTTCTGTAGGCTCAGACATACTGCAGGGTGAGCTGGATATCTTTAGTTGGCCCCCCACTCAAACCCACTTTCCACTTTCTTCTCTCTGGTCTGCATTCCAGGAGACTAAGCTGTGTGGCCTATGGAGATGGGATCCCTGGTCATTGGCCGATGTGGGGGAGGGGGATAGCAGGACATGGGAGAGAGTGAAGAGAGCAAGTGGGTGTTTATTTATCTCTCCATTTCCCTCCCTGTGGAGTCACTGCCAGGCTGGCTGTGTCCCTAAGAGAAAGCCACAGGTCAAGCCTGGCAGCCCTCTCCACACAGCTTTCTCTCTCCTCAGGTTCTAGTAAATACACCCACCCCTTGGCTACTTCAGGCCTAAGGCTAGTCACCCAGTCCCTGTGCTGAATTTTTCATTACCTCTTTTGCAGCTGGAGATTGAACCCTCTGACTCTTCAGAAAGCCTAATTTTGGCTTCCAAGTCAGGCCTCCACCCAGTCTCTTAATAGCCCTGAGGTACAGCACTACTTCTTGTGGTTTCCCTACCCCCTGCCTACACCTTGTAAATAGTCTCCTTATTAAACCCTTCTCAATTTTCCCAGTTGAATTATTCCGTTTGTTTCCACACAGACACTGACAGATAAACAGATGCTAAGGAGCTCATGGACCCCTGGTAGGGCAGTGGTTAAGAGCTTAGCTGCTAACCAAAAGTTGGCAGTTCCAGTCCATCAGCCACTCCTTCGAAATCTTGTGGGGCAGTTCTGTTCTGTCCTATAGGGTCACTATGAATCAGAATCAACTCGATGGCAACAGGTTTTGTTCTGGTTTTGGTAAGAAGCTCACGTTTCAAGTAGAGAGATAGACTAACTCAATGAAATAATCAAAAAACAATATACAGTACTACACGATGCATAATAAGCGGTTTAAGAAGAAAGATTTTGGCTAAGCTCTGATTTTAAACAGTTTCTTACCAGCTATGTGAGAGTGGATAAGTAATGTAACCTCTTTAAACCTCAGTTTCCTTTTTTATAAAATGAAATACAAATATCCAGCCCTTAGAATTGTGAGGATTGAATAAGATAAAGCACCTGAAACACTTAGTCCAGTGCCTGGCACACAGCAAGTGGTGAATACATAGTAACTTCTGTTATTATAATTATTAACAACATTTTTATTAGCTGTATGTAAATGCTTAAAATATTTTTTTTCCATTTTCTAAACCACAAGATAACCTCAAACACATTACTAAAGTAAACTATGTAGATTTGTCACATGATGCAGAAATGTGGGGACTTCAGGGAGCATTGTTGGCTATTTGTTTGGCCAAACATTAGTCAGTTGGCTTGGTCCCTCTTTTCAACAGATTCCTTATCCCTGAGCAGGTGGTGATTCGCAGGCGCCCATTGGTCTATGTAGTAAGCCTGCTGATTCCCAGCATCTTCCTAATGCTTGTGGACCTCGGGAGCTTCTACCTACCACCCAACTGCCGTGCCAGGATTGTGTTCAAGACTGGTGTGCTGGTGGGCTATACTGTCTTCAGGGTCAACATGTCTGATGAAATACCAAGGAGTGCAGTGAGCACTCCTCTGATCGGTAAGCAGCCTTAAGGTCACCAGATAACCATCTTCCATTACTGTTGTCAAAAATCTGACATTGCACTTCCAGTTGGAGGAGGAGACTCCAGCTAATCCCCCTTCTCTGGGTTCCTTGTCCCAGGGATCTTCTTCACGGTCTGCATGGCCTTCTTGGTCCTCAGCTTATCTAAGTCCATTCTGCTGATCAAATTCCTCAATGATGAGCGGTGCAGTGGGCAGGCGCGGCCCCTCTTGTGCCTTCAAGGGGACACCGATGCTGATGGGACTAGAATGGATCCCAAGGTTCAGCCTGCTGAGATAACAGGTTTGTGAGGAGCCTTGAGGTCTCTTCCTGTCTTATCATCTTCAGTATCAGTTCCCATGGGTGGAGCACCAGACCATGGGTTGGGCTGTGTGAAAAATTTGAAAGACTTGTTTCTTAGCCTCTGTGCTGAATTTTTCATTACTCTTTTGCAACTAAAGACTGCACCCTCTGATTTTCTAGAAAGTCTAATATTGGCTTCCAGGTCAGGCCCTCCATCACCCTTAGCTTGTTTTATTTTCCAGTTACAACCAATCACCGAAAGTAACTTAGCCATTGACTCCAGAATAGTAGATTGCTGACATGGATAGAAAGGTAGGTAGATGTATAGATGGATGGATGGATGGATGGATGGATGGATGGATGGATGATGGATGGATAGATAGATATAGAGGCATAGAGGTATAGATGTAGAGATATTTGTATATATTTATGTTCTAGTTGCTTAATGTAAAAAAGGAGAAGAATTTATCCCAGCCCATAAAGCTCCAACTGAGGCAAATGGGGTTGGCTCTAGTCAAAAAAAAAAAATTCCTAGATGGATCTAGCCTAGTTACACCCTAGTTATACAATACAGCTCTGCCATGTTCTCTAAAGCATCCCTCAGCACAGCCTTGCCTTCCCTTGGCAGGGAGGGAGAGAGTCCCCAACCCAATCCCAACCCACTGCCCAGCTTTCCCCACAACCTTCATTGAAGGATAAGGCCTTCGGCTTCAATAGAAAGTCCAGGTGGGCCTTGGTAGCCCTTGACTCATGTAGGGTGTTTTCTTCCATCACACAGAGTCCCCCATCCGTCAAAAGCACCAGGTCCAGTCAGGGACCCTGAAAGAAGTCTGGTCCCAGTTGCAAACCATAAGTGACTATGTCCGGGCTCAGGAGCAGGCTGACCAACAGGAAATTGAGCGGCTGGCCCGCCTGTACCGCTTCGACCGACTGCTCTTTCGAAGCTACATCATCGTGCTGGGGCTCTATATCATCACGCTGTGCTCCCTCTGGGCACTGTGGAGCAGCTTGTGAAGACTGACACTTGGTGGTATCAGTGAGATGCCGAGGCACTTGGGGAAGGCTGAAATTTTTTGTGAGGAGATTAGAGGGGGAGAAAAGATGGGTTAAAAAGCTTTCCACCCCCCATTGCCTCTTTTCACTCTGTCTAGATACTCACACCTAATGAACTACTGAATGACCCAGGAGTAATACATTCATAATGAAAATGCATAAATAGTACACGGTATACAGTGAAAAGTAAACTTTCCTCCTTATCCCAGTTTATGCCCCCAAATAACCACTGTAGACAATCTCTTTTGTATCCTTTCAGAAAATGTCTAGACACAAAACATGTTACGCTTTGCTGTTGAGTCAATTCTGACACATGTAACCCTATAGGACAGAGTAGAACTGCCCCATAGGGTTTCCAAGACTGTAATCTTTATGAAAGCAGACTGCCACATCTTTGTCTCGTGGAGCAGCTGGTGGGTTCAAACTGCCAACCTTTCAGCTGGCAGCCGAGCGCTTAACTACTGAGCCACCAAGGCTCCTGTCTAGACACATGAGAAGCATACTGGTATGTTTAAACAGTTTTTTGAAAAAGTATAAGCTCACTCCATCTCCCATTCCCACCCTGGTCATTTATTTATTCAGTCAGTCAGTCAGTCAGTCAGTCAGTCAGTCATTCAACAAAACCTGCACTGAGTATCGATTGAGTCCTAGGCATGACGTTAGGCACAATACAGAATACAAAGATAAGTCAATTATAGATCCTTCTTTGCTTGACTTGATTCTCATGATCAACCTTGTACCAACCAGAACACAAAATTCCCACCGTCACTATATTCTTCTGAAGTATTCGCTCCCGCTATCCCAGATGAGGCCACTGTCTCCATTTCACTTCCATGACTGCTCAGCAAGGCACTATTTTTGGAGGAGATCTAGGGCCAAGGCTTCCAGGCCCAATCTAACAAAACATTTAGAAAACATACAACACTTGTAGGGCACCGAGCTGGGGGACAGCCATAACACATAGTCCTTGGGTTCAAGGAATTTACCCTCTACTGTCCCAATGTCTCCTTAGCTTCCCATCCATGCCCATGGTCACTTGTCCAGAACAGGAGAGCCCTGATCATATAGCACTTGGATAAATGAACTTCAGACTCATACTCTTCAGTAGCCAGAGTCATCTTCAAAATATGTATTGATTAGCCTATATTATGACAGTTCCTGTGGCCTCATAACCTGAATCCTGAGATTAGAATTCAAGCCTACCACAAATTTCCTTCCCCTTGTATTTGACTTTCTCATTGTTTCCTATTCCCGAGTCTTCAGTCCAGCCAGGCCAACCTGCTTGCCATCCTCCTCAGGAAGGAGGTTATTTCCATCTAAGCCTCTACTTCCATTAGACATTCTTTTCTTTTGCTTACCAATCTACATGCCAAATTTCTCTCAGATACCTGCTCAAAACTGCCTTCTTCCACTTAGCTTTTTTCACCTGATCACCCCATGACTCTGTCCCTCATCTCTGTCTTTATTCTTAGATTACCTTATATTCTCCCTTTGAATGTTCCATGGCATTCTTTTATATATGTGTATGTGTCATTTGATTCCCCAAATACACCACAACTCCGAGAATAGTAATGCTGTTTTCTAGTTGATCCCTCAGCTATGCCCAGGTCCATACAGAGTTTTGCACATGGTGAATCGGCAATAACTATTGCAGAACAATTCATTCTAACTCACTGCTAATGGTGGACACATTTCTAGTTTTCCCAAGTATAAGGGACAAAATCTACCTGAGGCTAGACACCAGGTCCCTCTGCATCCCTCCTCCCTCAGCCCAGGGCAACCATCAGGAGGCTGATGGTAGAAGACCACAGCGGGCTGAGCGGTAGTCGCCCGTCCTAACACTGCGGGCAGAGAACACAAGAATCCAAAGTTGTTTGCTACGAACTTCTTTCAGCTGTAAAATTGCCTTAAAAAAAAATCTGTCCCCCTCCATCCCCCACTGAAGAAAAAGAATTTAAATTCAAACAGCCTTACCTGCATCCTCCTTCTCTCATTACCTCCCAGTTAGTGCTCAGTGCCAATTGTCCATGAAATTCCACTGCTGCTGTTAATGAAATGAGGAACATAAGAAGTTTGTGAACAGGAAGTGTCCATGCAAACCTCCACTTGTTTCCCTCTTCACTTTCTACTTTCTATTACTGGCCTCTTCTGCCTTGACCTGCTCACTTAGCCTCTAAATTGATCCTGGCTTCCTCCACTTGTCCCGTTATTAAAGGAGGAAAAGGCCTGCAGTGAACTCACTATGGTGGGTTCTCCCTACTTCCCAACCATGTCTGGGAGAAAGCCGTAGGTTAAGAGTCAGGAGACCTGATTGTGGTCCTGGATCCATCACTGTCTAGCCTGAGGATCTTGACCTTGACTTCTCAGAGCTTCAATTTACCTTATTTGATATTGGAATTGTTTATATTTACTCTACCTGTAACACAGAGTTATGGGAATCAAAAGGAAGTGATGTATTTAAAAGTACCTTGAAAAGTAAATGATATATCACGTACTAAAGTTCACGCCTGCCTGCTATCTACAAAAGAACTCCAGTCTTGGGTCTTTGGTGTGATGTTCCATTTCCAGCTGCCTTCTTTGGAATCTACTCACGGGCTTTGGTTCTCCCTAGCAGTGCACTTCTTCCTGGGTCCCAAGGACTGAAGCCATCACATGTCTCCTTGAGACGGACTTGAGTCAGGAAGGCTGCCAAAGGGACTTCCCTGTCCACTTCCCACACAGTTCATTTTCACTCCCTTCCCAAAGAACATCTCCCAGGTTCTTTGTGTCAGCCACTAAGAAGCACTCTTTCTGAAGTGAAGTCTAGACACTGTGTGGACTCCCTTCTCTCCAGTACTAAGTGACTTTGATCTCAACATGGCAGCCCAAACTCATCCTAAGGCCCAGTGTCAGGTCTGCATCCTGAAGCAATGACACTATGAGGGAATGGCACTGCAGACCTCCTCCTGGAATAGTGTCCCTTCGTCGTGAGTGGGAGGAATCTTGGGACGCCCGAAGCCCTTATTTAACAGAGCAGCTTTAGCTCAGCCCCTCCACATGTTTATACATGTCGTTATTCCTGTTCCGGAGAGGAAGGAAACTGAGGAACAGAGCAAAAATGAGATTTTCCCAGCTGTGAATGCTCCCACCAGCTGCTGTTCCCCGGAAAGGTAGCTTCAGTACTCATCAAGAAATCACAGCTCTACTTCTAGAATACAGTTAGTTAAGCACAGCCCCAGGCTTGCCAAGCAGCCCTCACTTAATTACTCGATCTTAGGATATCTTTGGAGTACTGCTAAGATGATCTCCCATAACGTCCTCAGCCTTTCGTATTGCCAATAATTAGGTGGAAGAGGGTCTTTCCCCTCTCCTCCCAAGATGTCCCCACCACCTTTGCAGTTGTCTTAGAGGAACAGGGGCCATCACAGAAGGTGAAGCTGAGCTTCTCACCACTTAAACCTCCATGACAAGTCTCCCATGGTGGGACTTTCAGTCTGGATGGGTCAGAACCAGGAAGCAAATCAAAGAGCTGCTGGGAAAGGAGCCAGAGAGAAATGTGTCCCTGATAGAATTAGTCTTCCTCTCAGCCCCCCTCCAGGGTTCCCCAGATCCTCTCACATCTCAGGGATCTAAGCACATATCTAGGTGTTCCTGGGTGGTGCAAACAGTTAATGCACTCAGCTGCCAACTGAAAGGTTGAAAGTTTGAGCCCAACCAGATGTACCTTGGAAGAAAGTCCCGGCAATCTGTTGCTGAAAAATCAGCCACTGAAAACCCTATGGAGCACTGTTCTACTCTGGCACACGTGGAGTCGCCGTGAGTTGGAATTGACGCAATGGCAACTTTTTTTAAGGACACATCTGAAGGTAAATTTAGCAGAAGGCGGTGGAGTTTAAATTTTCACCCTATATTGTGGCTCTGAGGCTTTCAGGACACTTCAGAATTTGGGTTTTAAGGTTAGGAGTTCTCTGCCAATCTTTTATGGATGCTCACCCCAGGATAGAGATGCCAGTTCCCAAGTTCCTTCCAGGAAGGCGGTGCCTCCTCATTGCAGCTCCATCTGCAGCCCTAGGGCCCCACCTCAGTCACCTCTCAGTCAGGTTCAGCCTACCCTATCCTGTTCCCAGCTCAGACTCCATCTCAGCAGCCAGAACCTCTCAGCCCTGAGTTATTTACCTGCCGAGACAGCGAGAGCTTCATAATTAGCTGAGCAACAGCATGGAGGCTTTTATGAGCAGCCACTCCCCCACCACACTCTGGTGTCCGTAATTGAAATGACCCACGCCAGTGATTAGATTAGGGGCTGAAGCAGCCCAGCACACCACCCCACGCTCTCCCCTCATCCTGTCGGGGAGGTGATGTAGTTAAGTTTGTGCTTCATTTGGCAGAGGCCATAAAGCAGAAATTGCAGCGGTGCTTTTTGCAGGGGCTGGAAGGGACTGCTGGGCAGGGCAAAAGGCTCCAGATCCGAGGGAGAGGGAGGCCCTTTGTCCCCTCTTCATCACATCCTCTCTACCCTCTCCCTCAGCCCAGTGTAGACTCCAAAGAACGGCGGCCTACTGGGATTATCAACACTACTGGGTGCCACAGGGTCCAGGGCTGCATGCAGATGGCCAGTCCCTGATGGGATCTAGCTCCCTGTCACCCTGCTCATCCTTCTTTAGAGAGCTCAAGGCTGAGAACAAGAGAGGGTGCTGTCGGCAGTCCCTCTTCTCTCCTCCCCTCTGCCTAATCTTGCCTCTCAGCTCTTCCCCATATAAACCTCCTTTTGTACCCTAGTCCCATCCTCCGGCTGCCTCCTCCCGCCACCTGGCCCTTTGAGCACCCAGACTGAATTTGGTAGTGTTGCACAGTAGTTGAAGTTCATCTAAGTTTCCTCTTGCTCCTTCCTCTTCCCCACCCCCACCTGCCCCAGGGACTTAAGTGCGTGGATTAACCAGTAAGCACGGTATGTACCAGTTTGCACTGAGAAAGGTACATAC